AGTCCCAGATATGCTGTGAAGATCGACTTGATGAAAGCCTATGATAGTGTGAGATGAGACTTTGTTTTGAAAGTGATGAACAAAATGGGATTTCCGCGACAGATCATTCAATGGGTGGAGGCTTGTATTACTACTCCAATATTTTCTATAAGCATTAATGGTGAACTGAATGGATATTTTCAGGGAAGGAGAAGCCTTAGACAAGAGGATCCCATGTCCCCATATCGCTTTGTTCTTGTCATAGAAGCTTTTAATAGTTTAATGAAAGCTGCCATTCAAACTAGGAGATTCCAATTCCATTAGAGATGCAAAAAGGAAGGGATTTCACATTTGTGCTTTGCTGATAATATCATGGTTTTTAGCAAAGGTACAATTGAATCAACGAAAGCTATTAAGGATGTACTTCAAATTTTTGAGGAGTTTTCAGGGTTGAAACCTAATGAAAACAAGTGTGAATTTTTTTTTTCTAGGTTGAAAATGAAACCAAAAAGAGTATTCTACAATGTTTGGGGTTTGATGAAGGAATGCTGCCAGTTAGGTACCTTGGAGTACCTCTTATCACCACAAGATTAAGGGTCACAGATTGTCATGGTCTAATTGAACAAATCACCTATAAGATCAGAGATTGGACTTGCAAGTTTCTATCCTATGCAGGGAGACTCCAACTGATTAATTCAGTATTTTTACCATTCAGGTCTACTGGGCATACATATTGATTCTTCCAAAGGGTGTGGTTGAATCTATAGAACAGTTAATGAAAAGATTTTTATGGTCTGGAAGTGATAGCAGAGCCAGCGAGGCAAAGGTGGCCTGATCTACTGTGGGCCTCCCAAAGAAAGAAGGGGGTCTTGGAGTTAAAATCCTAGAAACTTGGAACAAAGCAGCTATGACAAGACATTTATGACATGTTATTAAACCACAAGGGATCTCTATGTGGGCCTCTTGGGTTGAATCCTACCTATTGAAGGGAAGAAGCTTTTGGCGTATTAGGATCCCTCAAAACTCATCTTGGTCTTGGAGGAAAATTCTTCAATTAAGGAACCAATGTTTACCCCCTAATTAGATATAAGATTGGAGATGGCCGATCCACTTTCTTATGGTTGGATCCATGGCATCCAAGTGGTCCTATTTATCAGAGTAGAGGTGAGGCGATCATTACTGGCTCTGGATTGGACAAAGAAGCTCGTGTTTGCAGTATTGTCAACAACTCACAATGGGTGTGGCCTGATATTGCAAATGAGGAACTTCTAGATGTGCAAAGAGGGATTCCTCCTAGCTGGAAACTTGATTCGAACTTGAAAGATAATGTGCTATGGCTACCCAATACAAATTCTCACCTTTTTTCCACTTAGTCTGCATGGGATTGTTTTAGAGTAAAGGGGAATCATCGTGTCTGGGCCAAGATTTTTTGGTTTCTTGGTGCAACTTTATTCTGTGGCTTGTTGTGCAACAAAGATTACCAACGCAAGATAAGCTTTTGGATTATGGTATCCTACAGAGGGCCTCTTGTGTTTTTTGTCATAGTGATGTGGAATCTCATAATCATTTATTTTTTGCTTGCTCTTTTACTAGTAGATTATGGATGTCACTACAAATTAAGTGTAATGTACAATGGCCTTGTATTGCGTGGAAATATTTTGTCCAATGGTTTGCAAGGAACGTGATGGGAAGAAAGCTGAGTAGTGTGATTGGGAGATTGATGTTGTCCACTTTTGTTTATAAGCTTTGGATGGAGAGAAACCTAAGAACTTTTAGAAACTCTTTTAAGAATGTAACTACTATTTACAAAGACATTGTTGACTGCATTAGACAGAAGCTTAATTTTCACAGAGGGGTGGGAAAAACCTCCTAATTTATGGCTCCAAAGACAATGGTCCCTCCCAGAGTCGATTTTTGAACCGCCTTAAAGTTGATGGATTGCTGATCTAATGTGTGCTTGAATTTGGTTCCTTATATTTGGGTTATGCTGGTTCTGTATTTGCCTCCGTCACTGTTGCTGAAGGTGAGGTTCACTGTGTTTGGTGGCTGCCCTCTTGCTTGGACTACCTTTTCAATGGAAGCAGTTTCTAGTCTTTGGGAGTTTGTGTACTCTCTGTTTTCTTCTGGTGTCATGCTTTGTTTGGAGTTTGGCATTATGGGTGCGGGGTGCATTGTCTTTATGGTGGTTACATTGCTGGTTGGTGCTTCATCTTGGTGTTGTTGTTTGCTTCATCTTGATGCCCTGTATTTCTTTTTGTTTCTTTTGGATTTTGTTTTTTACTATGTATTCTTTTGCTATGGGGATGGGGGATCTTCTTTTTCTTGTTTTAAGAAGATCAACCATCCCTTTTGATTACACCTGTGTACATGTTTCCTTTTTCGCTTTTTTGAAATTATCTTACTTACCCAAAAAAAAAAAAAAGAGTTGGTCTCTAATCCAATCTAACCTATCCGAGTTGACTCTTATTTTCTTCATATTACTCCTTATGATTTGATTATAACTATTACTTAATAAATCTTGAAATTATCTTGTAATGACTAACAGAGATGAAAATGAGCGGATGAAAAATGAAAATAAATTGTTGTATGCTTTAAAAAAAAATAATAATCAGCTTCACCCAAAGCCAAATTATGGTAAAGATCAATAAAGTTGGAGCAGTTGTGATAACATGCTGGAGAGCAAATCTGGGAGGTGCAATGAGGCTCAGGTAGTGTATCTGACGAAATTCCAACAGATTTCCTTTGAACCCTACATGCAGTGATGCATTCATTACTCTCAATCCTATTATGAATTTTCTGGCAACAGCCTCAGATGTCTTGTACTGTAATCTCACAGTTCAAGATAATTGGGGTTGGAAACGTGTGTTTGTGCATGTCTTCAGGTATTTAGTTTGAAAATTCAAAAAATATAAAATTAAAAAAAAAAAAAAAAAGAGATAAGATGCCCGCTAAGATATTAAGGAATTGAAAAATGAGAAATCACAGAAAATTAAAGAATAGGCATAAGAGGCTTCTCCTTAATTCTAGATAATTTGCTATAGTATATGGAGTAACGAATGTTCGATGTTTTTATCATCTTCCGTCCACTACGATGTATCTTTTTTGAATTAATATCAATAGCACACCGTTTTTTATCAAAAAAAAATACATATTAATCTAGTAATGTATAATAGAGGGTTTGTTAAGAACAAAAGGGACCCAGTTTGTTCTAAATGGTTCGCCTTTCCTTTTCAATGGGTTCAACTCATACTGGATGATGAATGTTGCAACTAACCCAAGCGACAGGTTCAAAGTCTCTGAAGTGTTCCGAGATGCTGCTGTTGCTGGACTTTCTGTCTGTCGGACTTGGGCTTTTGCGGATGGAGGTGACAAAGCACTGCAAATATCACCTGGCACTTAGGATGAACGAGTTTTTCAGGTAAAAAATGAATATATCTAATCATGTCACTAAATAATGCAATTTACTGTCCCTAATATAGTTATTCATATTACTATTTTTGTGTAAATATTAATATTCTTACTACTGACATGAATTTTTAATGGTTTAGGCACTGGATTTTGTGATTTCGGAAGCAAGAAAACGTGGGATTCACTTAATGTTGAGTTTCGTGAACAATTACAATGACTTTGGAGGGCGAACACAGTATGTGCAGTGGGCTAGAAATGCAGGAGCACAGATTAATAGTAATGATGATTTCTACACAAATCCAGTGCTCAAAGGGTATTACAAGAATCATGTCAAGGTGGAAACTAAATTTTCATGAAATAGATTAGGGTTCATGTGTGTAGGCGCTTTGCAAGGAAAAGTTAGTTGTAATCATCATAATTTTCAAAGAATTTTATTAATTGCAAAGAGTCATAACAAGATTCAACACCATAACTGGAATTGCTTATCGAGATGACCCGACAATCATGGCGTCGGGACTCATGAACGAGCCTCGTTGCCAAGTCGACTACTCTGGAAGAACAATAACTGTGAGCCTCATCAACATATACTTTTACAAGTGAGATCGCCTCTAATAATTTTTATTTTATTTTTTTCAATTTCATTCAAAGGTAAATCACCTATTATATATGCTTGGGGACCCACTACACTAATAAATAGTTGCCCTTCATGAATTAATAGTGAGTGGCTTATCATTGAGTAAATTAATGAAGAGAAATGTATGGATTGTCCTTTCATAACTCCTAAAAGTATGGTTTTGAAGCATAGTTTTGATGCATAGCTATCACTGCAATTGTTGTATAAATTTTACTAATTATATTTGATATTGCAGGCCTGGGTTCAAGAGATGGCAACTTATGTAAAAGCTTTAGATGGCAAGCATTTGCTGGAAATAGGCATGGAAGGATTCTATGGGGATTCGCTGCTCTAAAAGAAGCAAACAAATCCTGGTTACCAAGTTGGGACAGATTTCATTAGTAACAATCTCATCAGGGAGATTGATTTTACCACCATTCATGCATATCCTGACATATGGTAAACCACCCATATCCTTACTAATTTCCAAACTTTTAGAATCAATCTTAATTTTTATTAAATTCATAACTTAACCTTATTTAATTGTAACTGACCTCTCGATCCCAAATGAGTTGTATCTTGCCCCGAGTTGCTTGTAATGTGATGGCTCCTTTGATATCGTAGTCTTTGCTTTACTACCATACACGAAACCAAGTATATCAATACTTCATATAGCTCAAACGATTAAATTGTAACCAAGTTATCTTAATACTGAGCTTGAACATTACTATCTATATAATAAGGGGCATTTATTAGTGGAACCTTTCTTCCTTTTCACCACCATCGCTTCAACCCCTTCCTTCTCTCCTCCATCATGTGTTCGACGAAATTTCTGAAAGATCACCAGAGTTATTTCTATCTCAAACCACAATGCCCACCGAAACCTCACAACCACCACCATAGACCCACCAACTGCCATGAAGCCAGCAATGCTTTTAGTCACGGGATTTAATTAATTTTTTTTGTATGACAGGTTGTCTGGTAAAATGATGATGCGCAAATGGAATTTATGAAAAGATGGATGTCAAATCATTGGCAAGACTCGAGGACGATACTAAAGAAACCATTGGTAATCGCAGAATTCGGAAAGTCCAGCAAAGATCCAGGATACAGTTTAAACAGAAGGGACTGGTACATGAGTTCTATAAATACAAACATCTACAACTTGGCAAGAAGTGGAGGAACCGTTGGTGGGGCCTTGGTTTGGCAGCTGATGGCAAAAGGGATGGATTCTTACGATGATGGGTACCAGATTATCTTATCAGAAAATCCTTCTACTGATGGAGTCATTTATAGACAATGTCGTGCAATGGCAGCTTTATCTCATATTAATGGTTTCAGCCATTGGCCACGCAATGCAAAGCATGGTCATCCATATGGTCGACGTCCCGTAAACAAGTCCGTTCCTTGATGGACTTGGGATGACATTATAGTTCTTGGGCAATAAATCTATTAGCATCTATTATGGTTATGTGTGCCAGGAGTAGTATTATCTATTGTCCCTCGAAATTTGAATTTTTGTAGTGAAATGTACAACTTTACATTACAATTATCATCGCACTAGGAAGTTGAAATTCAGTTTTAGTTGAAAAAATATTCATCATAACGGTGATACTATGTCAGTATTAATGACATGATATTACCAACAATAATGTGTAAACAAATAGAAAGACGAACCCCACACAAAGTCAATAATTACCGGTCTCTGTAAATTAATAACTACTCGTTCTTCTTCCATATAAGTCAATAACTATTCATGTGGGATTCACTTTATTCATTTAGGATTTTATTATTAGTTAGTAATATCATATCATCAATGCTGACACAGAATTACCATTGCATTGAATATTTTCTCCAGCTTCAGAGGGTAGCTAGTAAACTATGGGCGTAGTCGGTAAATGATTTTTGGGTGGATACATTAATATGTTTGTTTTTTTTTTTCTTTCAATTAATAAAATCAAGATAATACATTTATATTTATTTACATCATATTTTTATAATCAAAAGTTTATCCAACAAATCGGTTTAGATAGTATATTTATGCCAAAAAATTTCATAAAATTTCACGAAAACTACGTCAATCTGATTCGCAGCTTCAATAAATTCACCAAAGTCAACATCAATTTGAAGATCAAGAATAACACTGATCATGCATTTGTCTTCAACAAATCTATCAAAGTCATTATCAAATCAAAGAACCAGAACCACGTTGGTCTAGCCCTCTTCTTCATCAAATCCATTAAAGATCCAGGATACAGTTTAAAAGAGAGGGACTGGTACATGAGTTCTGTTTATACAAACATCTACAATTTGGCAAGAAGTGGAGGAACCGTTGGTGGGGCCCTGGTTTGGCAACTCATGGCAAAAGGGATGGATTCTTACGATGATGGGTACCAGATTATCTTATCAGAAAATCCTTCTACTGACGGAGTCATTTCTAGACAATCTCGTGCAATGACAGGTTTATCTCATTTGTTTGGCTTACCTCATAGTAATGGTCGTTTGAGCCATTGGCCACACAACGCAAAGCATGGTCATCCATATGGTCGACGTCATGTAAACAAGTCCGTTCCTTGATGGACTTGGTGGGATGATATCATGGTTCTTGGGCAATAAGCCTATTAGCATCTATTATAGTTATGTGTTCCAGGAGTAGTATTACCTGTTGTCCCTCGAAATTTGAATTTTTGTAGTGAAATGTACAACTTTACATTATCTTACTAAGTTGAAATTCAGTTTCAATTGAAAAATTATTTATCGCAAGGGTGATACTACGTCATTATTGATGATATGATATAACCAACCAATAATATGTGAACAATTAGAAAAACGGACCCTACACAAGTCAATAATTACTTGTCTATGTAAACCAATAACTGTTCACTCTTCTTCCATATAAGTCAATAACTATTATCTAAGTGGAGTTCACTTTACTTATTTGGAGTTTTATTATCAATTATTGATATCATGTCATCAATGCTGATATGATATATATCACCATTGCATTGAATATTTTCTCCAGTTTCAGAGGGTAGATAGTAAACCATGGATGGCGTCGGTAAATGATTTTTGGGTGGACACATTAATATGTTTGCGTTTCTTTTTTTCTTCCAATTAATAAAATCAAGATGATACATTTATATTTATTTACATCATTTTTATAACACTACAAGAAAAAAGAGTTATTACGATGGTAAAGTACTGTCATAAAAGGTGTATTTGCTGTCATAAATACTTTTTGTAGTGGCATTGTGACGGCATTGTCTCACCATAATAAGTGTGGTCACAAAAGACTTTTACGACAGCAACGGTCGGTCTCAAATAGTATTTACTGCAGCAAGATCCCGTTGTAAATAAATTGTCACAAAAAAATCGATTTACAACAGCAATGATGCCGCCACAGAAAAAAAAATATATTTTTTTAATTATTATGGATTGTTGGTAACCAATGTTTATATCCTGTGCATATAAACAAATCCATTATAACTTCTTTTTTTTTTGGGAGGGAAAGAGTACTTGAACCCTTGACCTCAAGAAGACAAAACTTTCATAAGGTAAGGAGTACTATTGGACCAAAGACCCACTAGTATCTGTACTACCCAATTCAATATATAAATAAACACAAAAGTAAATATGACCAACATTTTCAAAAACATAGTAATATTTTCATATAAAAAAAAACAATCTCATGAGTTTAACAAAATGTAAAATATGCACTTTTACAAAACATAACGATCCATGAGTACAAGAAATTAATCCAAAAATTTGAACATCCTTCCCGAACTATCTAATCTCTCAGTGACATATGAAAAAAAATATTAAATTATTGTTAATATACTGAAATGATATTTATATACGTATATACAATAAAGAACTAAAAGAAGTTATACATCAATAGAAGGTCACTTTTGAACGACTTATCCAATTATGTAAATGGTATATAAACGAATCATATTGTATACATTTCTTCTAATTAGTTTCACTAATACTTGATTTATTTATAATCGTATCGTATCGTATCGGATCTACTCGTTTACTAAACATGTGGCTTAACGAAAACTCATACCCACTAATTTTATGTCGTGTTAACGGACCGTTTCATATTTTGACACCCTTAGTTTTGATATAAAAAATTGACTTTATATAATTTAATTTTTTTGTCTTTGAACTAGAAATTGTCTTTTGATGTAAAACTATGTAATTTTTATAAAATATTACTTGTAACATGAATAATAGTTGTGGCTAATACAATTTTTTTTTAGAGTTTTTCTTTTTTAAACTATAAACTGTTTTTTAATCTAAAACGAAATTTTAATGTTTTATGAAATATTATATACAACGGGAAAAATAGCTGCCATAAATATAAAAAATTCCTTTGAATTTATGAAATATAATTTGCATCAAGAAAAACAGTTGTTTTAAATATAAAAATTTCTTTTGAGTTTATGACACTATTTACGACAAGAAAAATAAGTGTCACAAATATTAACAAAATATTAATACAAACACACTTTTTATGACGACAAACACAGTCGCTACAAAAAATTGTCTCAAACAAATCTTTTGTGATAGCAAACACAGCCACCGTAAAAAATTTGTCACAAAAGACCCTTATTCTTATAGTGTAATCAAAAATTTATCTAACAAATTGGTTTACATAGTATATTTATGCCAAAAAAGGATATAAAATTGTACCCAAATAATAATAATAATAATAGTCATCTACAATTAACCCCAAAGAATTTTCATAATTTAAAGTTATCGCATAATAACTTCATTATCGACGTCGTCAAAAATATATTTTCCCATGTTCACAATTATGTTATCAGTCATCCATTTTGATATGCAACTAAGTTATCTTTACAAAATTAATTCCTAAAAATGCTTTCTCTACTATGGATAAACTTAATGTCAAAGTAACAGGTAAACTAATGAATTGCCACACATTTTTAGTTTAACCATTTTTTTGAATAAGATCATCAATCCCTGTTAGGTTTGAAAATCGAGTTTTAAAAATGTCAAGAGTTATGTTGTTCTATAATGTTGTGAATAAGAGCTCTAAAAAAGGTATCCCCCACCTCAATGAAGGATAGAATGGTCATCGAAAGGTCATACAATTATCGAATGGATAGGAATAATAGTGGGCTTACCAAGAGCTCCTTGAAGGAAGACAGAAAAAACAAGGAACAAATCAATGCCATTATAGTGAAGCAGCTGTGTTTGAGAAATTCCTGGACTTTGTTTGAGATTTGGTTTGAAGAGGTTGTTATTTATATAGAGAAGAGACTTGTGAAAACCTATACAAAATGACATTCTAGAGTACAATAGTTTTTGAGAGGTAATTTCGCGTCATGAAATGAACTTGGGTTCCTTGAAGTATCTTTCTCTCTCTCTCTAGTGGAATTTGAAAGCCGGAGCCCAAAAACGAATCTGCCAGATCTTGGTGGCATTATGATTTGATCTGAATGCAAATTTGGTTTGTTCAAATAGGACTAGGAGAAGAACCATGCCTTATATTTTGTTGTCTTTCCCATTTTTTTTTTTTTTTTGTGGGTTGGGGAAAAGATTAAAACTTTGTTGGTGAGAAATGAGAGAACTCTATAAGGTTGCGGTCAAGAGGTTGCAGCCAAATTGGCGCAGGAGCGCCGGGAACACTACGAATTCAATGTTTTTCTATGGGGTTGTTTGATAATATCACTTAATGCTTAAAATTGAATACTTTAAGTACTTAATAAATTAAACTTATTTGGTAACCTAAAATTCATACCACTTAATATTTTAAGTACTTTTTAAAAATAGGCTACAATTTTAAATAACAAGTCACATACTTATCACTTAATACTAAATATATTAGTCAATAAGGATTTTATAAATTCTTCATTATAGACACATATACTCTCAATACATTTTATATTCTTAACTTTTTAATACCCACCATTTATCAGCAGTGTTGTCACCACTACTACCACCATTATCATCAATGTGCTACCACCACCATCACCATTATTGTGTCACTGCCACCGCCACCACCATTGTGCCAGAATCATCACCAACACTATCATTGTGCCACCACTGTCACTATTGTGCAATAGCCACCACCACTATCACTATTGTGATAATGATGGTAAGAATAACATAGTTGCAGTAAGATAGTTAAAAAAAAGGTAAAATTAGAATAATAATAATTTTCAAACTTCAACTCCTTATGTTTGTCAAATAATTTAATTTAGTTCAATATTTAAATTTCAGTGAATACCAAACTGGCTGCAAATTAAAAAATTAATCATTCAGCATTTAAAATTCAGTATTCAGTTTTTAGTATTCAACTTTCAATTTTATCAAACACTACCTATGTATCGGGTACACAACTACTCCTAAATACGCCAAAATTAAGCAAAACATTTTGAAATAAGATGTTATTAAATCAATAAAACTAATAGTACACAGGAGCAATAATAGGAATGTCAAACACATAACTAAATCCCTAATTCTAAGAAACTTATTTGAAAGAGAAAAACACACGTCATTTGCAGAATAAATGGTTTGGAGATTCTATTGTGCCCTTTCTTTTTTTAAATTGAAACGATTTAAAAGGGAGCTCCAACTTTGAAATAAATATGTTGTGGGATCAATTTTTTAAAAGAATAAGGAAGTGGAATTTCAAGTCTACGACATTCAGAAATCCTTGGAAAGGGTGGGATGGACGGCAGAGTTAGCCCGGGAGTGGGATTTAGGGCTCAAACATGATCTAGGCAACAAATCATTCTAGAATAAAATAAAGTAATCATCTCCTATGGAGACAAAAATCTTTATCAAAATTTGATTAAAAAAATAGGTAAAAAACTTGATTCGATACAAAACACTCCAATGGAGAAATTCAAAGTTAAAAAAAAAACAAATTTAAATAAGGATAAGATATGACCAAAAGATCTTTAAAGGTAAATGAAATCTAACTATTGTTGATTTGAATAAATGTTTGGGTCTTCCTTGATTTGTGTAAACATTTGAGTTTCTCTTAATTTGATATGAGTTTTGGTTTAGCATTGAAAAAGGTTTTTAGAGATATTTTACTCAAATTTAAATTTAGATTTAAAAAATGGTAAGGGTTGGAACTAAATTCTAACTTTAGAAAAATAAGAAACTTTAAAATTCGCCTCAAATCATAGAGCAAAACTCACTTGGAATGTTATTATAAAATGATTTGATAAAAATTAGGGAAATTGCATTTTACATTCTAAAAAATTTTAAGATTTTCACTTTATAATCTCAAAGATTAAATTTCTCACATTGTACTATCAATTTATCAAAAGTGTTGCAATGTGACCATTATGTTAGATTGTCATTAGGTTTTTTATCAATGTTAATGAGTTGACTTTTGACGAAAAAAATAACAAAAGCTAATAGAATGATTACATTGCAACACTTTTGATACATTGAGAGTGCAATGCAAAAAAATTAATCTTTGAGGGTGTAAAGTAAAAATTTTAAAATCTTTCAGGATATAAAATGCAAAAAACTACTAAAAATTGTGGATCTCAATAGAGTACAATAACAGATTAAGATTCATGCAGACAACT